TCGCCGGGTGCAGGTTTCTTGCTTTGTACGCCCCCCACCTTGTTTGGTTCCCCCCCCCCCCCCCCCTCAAAGCAGGGACCACCCCTTGGCTCGCCATTCAAAACAATCAAAAAAAAGAAAACAACGGCCATCACCATTGATGGTGGGTAGCCCTTGGTCATTTTACGCATTCCTTGACTAACGGATCCATTGAACGAACAAAGACCCCTTCGTCGAAGGTGGGGACGCAGCAATCGTGATTCAAACCAAGCACAGCATAAAGGTCCACCTGCCCATGCCCTCTCCCGCCCAACCATCAACCCCCGAACGTGCTCCTGTGGCTGAGCCTTTGATCACCCAAGAATCCCCCAGGGCCAGAACTACGCACGGCAGTGTGGCAGAGCCCCAGGCCACACAAGTGACGGCCAACGACAAGCCCATTTACTACATCCCCCACCCAGACGAGTTCATTGCGCGGAGGGCATCGTTCCCTCACACCACCTACGTGATTACCAAGGGGGAAGAAGTAGGGCTTTTCTCGGCATGGTACGTATCCTGTACAACCCACTACCATGCCTCTGACACATTGTACCAGGCACGACGCGGCCATTTGAGTTCAAAACATTCCGGCCCCAAAGGGCTGCATCCAATATATTTTGCAAAGCTTCCCCACCTTTGAAGCAGCCTTCGACGTGTATGCCCATGCCTACAACATGGGTACCCTTGAGCCCATCCCCATTTCTGGGGGCCGCTTCGATGTTCCCATTAATAGGTTTTTTGACGACCAGCCTAATTCAGACGGTGAGTGGGACTCTGATTCTGCACGGGCGGATCAAGACGATTGCGAGGGCTGGGTTTTTGCGGACTCTGACAAAGAAATCCAAGTACGCACTTGGTAGGGACTCGTTCAACAGGCTCAGCTGATCTTGCTCATCAAAAATCATAGATTCAATGATGTGGCCTTGCGGTTGGACCGGCTGTCTTTCTATTGTGCTTGTCCCTGCCTGAATCTACTCCAATGTGACTGCCCCTGTTTGAATTTGCTAGATACCCATCCTCTACTCAATAAATCTTTTTTTGGTGTACTTCATCTGAACTGCCAAGTAATCAGATCCTGCACTACTCCGCCACCGAAAATTGAACATGTTTCAGCCAAGTATCAAGTTATCAACACACTGCCACCACCCCAACTGCTCACCGTGCTAGACTATACCAAGTGCAGAAACCTTTTATTCACTATCGGCTGAGTTTCCAGATTCAAGGCTTTCGCTAGCTCCATCCATGGCAGCCAGTATTGGGGCGAGTTCCTTTGCCGAAACACGCAGCTTCTCGGCATTTCTAAAACCCTTTCAGAACAATTCAAATAAAATTTGTCTAACTTACTTAGGATCTCGCTGCCACACCCGAAAATTTATTTGGGCCTGGTGGGTCCCTCGGTACTTGGCCGCTGCAGCTCTATGTCTCGCCTTCCTGGCATCTGCTTCTTCTGGTGTCTCATTTTGTCGCCGGTACTCCCTCAAACTGTAACAGCATGTGAGTGCCTTCCGCCCCATCTCG